CTCGTTTCAGTCACTGTGTCAGTCTCTGTTGTTGAGTCTCTCTCCTCTCTCCCTGATCTTCCCCCTTTCCAAGCATGAAATCTTCCCAGGGCTGATCCCTCTTGTTAACATGACCAGAGTATATAAGGTGAAGTCTCAGCATCCTTGCCCCTAAGGAACTTCCTGGCTGCACTGCTTCCAAGGGCGATTTGCTGGCTCTTTTGGAGGCCCGTCACATAGCCGCTGTCTTCACCAGTAAGAAATGCCTGAATAGAAGGTAACACCAATGAAGATGTCTTCAGAAAGAGCTGGGATTTGGATTTTTTTTTATGACTTTGCTCCAAGTTTTAGAGAATATATAAAAAAACAAGTAGATCAGTCTACCTTTAATTGTTACTATTTTAGTTAGCTGCATAATTAAAATGATACAAAACACGTTTTTGGAAATGCTCTTGTGCAGGCTCTTATGAAGCATTTTTATTCAAAGCCTTCTTGTGAGTCTTTCACACTGTTTTCACTGTCATTTAGGTTTTTGTTTTTTAAAAAGCTTTATTATTTATTTGTGTGTACCGTCAAATCAGATCTGAATGGTACAGGAGGAGATTGTCTCTTTTTCTCCAGCAGAGCGTCTGGTGGATGCGAACTGCACACCTCTGGGATTGCAGTGTAGCTTCTTGCCATGAGGCCACCAGAGCTCCCGTCATTTAGGTTTTGAGAGGAAGGTGGTAAGTGAGAGACAGAGGCTGGCTGCCTTTGGAAACATCATCCAAAGCCACAAGCGTCCTTTGGCCTTTTATGATCACAGCGTGACATCCGCAAATAATGCTAATGTTAAAAACTATGCAGTCTCGGTTAATAGCCTTTATACACTGTGCATAGTGTTTGTGTCGTTCACTCAGTTTTAAAAGCATCTTTGTAAGTATGCTCACTCTTGGATTCATGAGGCCGAACTCCAGCCTGCTGGGTCCTTTTATCAAAACTGACTCTGTCAGGAAACCTCTGTAAATGCCCCAGAAAAGAGAGAGGGGGGTGGGGGGTGGAGAGAGAGAGTGAAAAAAGCTGTTGTCTGCTAAGGATGACTGCTTTGAGTCCACACTGACTCGATGGCAAAACGTTTGTGGTTAAAAACAATTGAGCTGCCCCTGCTCCTCTGTGGGCCGGAATTACCTTGCCGTAGTCCAGTGCTGTAGGAATAAACACAGGGTGGACATCCACCTATCAGTGGACATTGGCTTTGGTGTGATGATAATATTTTTTTATCTTCTTTTTTCTTATTTAACTAATTTAAAAGGCATTTTTTTTATTTAAGACAACTTCATACCTATTTTTTTCTTTTTCAAATAACAGTTTTATTACAACAGGAATTGCATACTGTAAAGTTGACCTTTTTTTAAATGGCCGTTTAAATAATCTTTACATATATTCATAGTTGTGTAATTATATGACAGATAAGCTTTGAGCATTTCATCACCTCAAAAGAAACCCCATACCCCCTTTCCCAGTGGGGCAGCCACTGGTCACTTTTCTGTCTCTGGATTTCCTATTTTGAATGTTTCTTCATCTGTATTCAGGGGTTTTTTTGGGACTAGCTTCATTCACTTATTTGTAGAGTTCACCCATGTTGTTGTTAGGTGCTGTTGAGTCATTTACGCCTCATAGCAACCTTATGTACACCAGCTCTGAAGGCTCCTCTGTCCTGTGCCAACCTTACTGTCTTGACATACCTACCCTCATTACCCCAGTCACTGAGCCAGTCCATCTCATCGATGGTCTTCCTCTCTTTCTCTGTCTCTCCACCCTTCCAAGCATAATATCCTTCTCCAAGGACTGGTCCCTCCTCACAACATGCCCAGAGTATGTCAGACGAAGCCTCAGAATCTTTACCTCCAAAGAGCAACCGGGTTTCACCCTCTCTAGAACGAGCCTGTTTGTTCTCTTGGCAGTCCATGGTATATTCAGTACCTTCTGCAGCACCACAGCTCAAAGGCATCAATTCTCTGTCATCCCTAGTCACTGTCCAGCTTTCTGACGCATAGCAAGGAATTGCGAAGACTATGGTATAACATGTATCAATTCTTCATTCCTTTTTATTGTCATGTATTAGACTAGATAATGTTCATTCATCAGTTGATGGGCATTTGGGTTTTGATTTGTAAGTAATGCTGCTGTAGACGTTCGTGTACAAGTTTTTGTGTGAACATGTGTTTTATTTCTCTTGAACAGATACTTAGGAGTGGAATTGCTGGGTTATGTGGGAACTCTTGTGTTCAGTATTTTGAGGAACTATTGCCCCAGTTGATACTCCCCACTCCCCATCCCCTCAGCAGTGGGTGAGAGTTTCCATTCTCCACATCTGCACCAGAACCCCTCGTCACAGGCCATTATTTGGATTATAGCCATCCTAGTGAATATGAAGCTCACCACTGGAATGATAGGTGAGAAAAGGCTAAAGTTGGCAATGATTTCATCTTTACTTAGCACCCCAATTAACACCATTGGTACCAACAGTCAGGAAATCCAGAGACATACTGCACTGGGAAAGTCTGCAGTTTAGGGACCTCTCCAAATTAATGAGGAGTAATGATATAATTTTGAGACTAGGGTGCAACTGACTTAAGCCATGGTCTTTCCGATCTCTTGCTGTAAGTCTGAGAGCTGGATAATACGTAAGGATGACAGAAGAATTGATGCCTTTGAGCTATGGTGTTGCAGAAGAGCACTAAATGGCCATGGACTGACGAAAGAACAAACAAATATGTCTTGAAGAAAGTACAGCCCAGTGCTCCTTTGAGGAGAAGATGGTAACGCTTCGCCTCACGTAATTCGGGCATGTTGCTAGGAGGGGTTCTTCCTTGGAGAGGAACAGCATGCTTGGAAAGGTGGAGGGCTGGTGAAAGAGAGGAGAATCCTCAGCCAGGTGGACTGGCACAGTGACTGCTGCAGTGGGCTCTCACGTGTCAGGAAGTGTGAGGACGGCACAGCACAGGGCAGAGTTCAGATCTGCTCATGGGGTTGCTATGGGTCTTACTCCACCCACGTAACAACAGTGGGTATGAAGTACTTTCTACCCCATTCATTCTGATTAACTGTCTCTTCTATAAATGCATGTGTACCTTTTTCTCCGCAGCGGAAACAGAACCTCATGAAGGAAAGCGGAAAGTGGAGTCTCTGTGGCCCATCTTCAGAATCCACCACCAGAAAACCCGATACATCTTCGACCTCTTCTATAAACGCAAGGCCATCAGCAGAGGTGAGTACCGCATCCTCACAGCTGAGTGGTTTCCCTTGCTGTTCTAGCGGAGGAGGAGGATGGCCCCTCTGACGCTGTCCCCGTCCCCCTGCAGAGCTGTACGAGTACTGCATCAAGGAAGGCTACGCCGACAAGAACCTGATCGCCAAGTGGAAGAAGCAGGGCTACGAGAACCTTTGCTGCCTGCGCTGCATCCAGACCCGGGACACCAACTTCGGGACCAACTGCATCTGCCGGGTCCCCAAAAGCAAGCTGGAAGTGGTGAGTCCTCATGTCCCCTGCTCCTTTCGGGCACTGGGGTTATGGTGGGCAGGATATTCAGTCTGGATTCTGCCCTGGTTGATGCTGGGAAATCTCTGTGCTGGGTGTGGCTTTGTCGCTGGCCATCCTGTTAGCCCAGCCTCTAGTGGGGGGTGTCACTTGGTCTGGCTGGTCTCGCGATACCTGCAGACACTACAGCTCCTGCCCAGAGCAGACCAACCCCCTGCATGACTGAAGCTCAGTTTGTGATTGATGTTCATGAAGGTGGGAGAGCCTCCAGGCAGCCACAGGCACTGTGGTTTGTGGAGGAGTTTGGTGGTATGGGAGTTGTCCAATCTAGGTCCAAGCTCAACTCCTTCAAGCCTGTTGTCTTACAAACTCAGAATTCAGGGTGTCAGTACCACCTCAGGAAGTTGTGTGCCTTCAAGTCAGAACCAACTCATAGCTGACCCTCTAGCAGGTTTTCAGAGGCAGTAAATTGCACAGGAGGAAATTACCCCTCTTTCTTCTATGGAATAGCTGATGGATTTGAACCATGTACCTTTACATGGGCAATGCAGTTCCTTATAACTAAGCCACTAGAGTGCCCCACCTCAGGTAGTTAGGAGCATTAAGTCAGATTAAGCACATGCACTGCTGTCCTTCCATCTCAGCCGGTTTTTCCAGACGTTCCCTCGGTGACACACACTTCTGTTACCATTTGCTCTATTGTAGAATTTTCTATCTCAGAACGAGGCAGGGCAGCTTGGGCACAGTGATTGGTGGGCTGAAGCTCCAAAGTAGACCTGCTGAGCAAAGCAGAGCAGCTGCATGTTGACATCAGTGGCTCTCTGCTTGGGCTGGAAGCTCAGGGATCACGCACCCAGGGGAGCACGCACCCAGGGGTTCCTGTGGCAGCTCAGAGTGCCCGGTGCCGGTTCGGGCCCTGTGTGCTGCAGTGTGTAGTACCAGCTCTGCAGCTAGAACACAGCTGACTCTAACTCTGCTTTTACCATGGGATCAGAGAAACAAACAGGTGCTTTAAGAACAGCTGGTGACAGACAGGCACACACCTCCACCTAGGTGGGGACAGCTGGTCTCCTGGTCAGAGACATTAGCACATGGTCGCCCTCCTCCCCTGGCCCTGCCAATTCCCCACTTGGGGCTGGGACGCCCAGGCACCAGAGACCCATTCCAGCCCAGGCAGGGTACGCAGCACTCGCTCAGCCCAGGATCGAGATGGTGGTTAAGTGCTGTGGAGTCGAGTACAGCTCATAGTGACCCTATGAACAGCTGAACTGAACCCCGTCCTGTGCCATCTTCACACTTCTGACACACTAGAGACCATTGTGGCAGTCACTGTGTCAATCCACCCTGTTGAGGGTCTTCCTCTCTTTGGCTGACCCTGGACCCTTAATTGATGTTTTTCAATTTTCCCTCATTTCAAGTAACTTCCAATCTGGGCTCTAATACTACACTACTGTAACTATCTGCATTCACACTCTAGTGTTCATAGAGTTTTCAAAGGCTTGTTATTTAAGAAGTGGATGGCCAATCCTGCTTTCTAGTCAGTCTTAATCTGAGAACTTTACTAAAACCTGGTCACTATGGGTAACTTTTATGGCATTTGACACACGAGTAGCACAGCTTTCAGTATCACAGTAACCCCACAAGTTACCTCTGTACAGCAAACTGACAGACAAGTGCTGTACCATTTAGAACAAAGTTCTCACCAAACAGCCGTGTGTTTTCTTTTTAGTGAGCAGTTCAAATAGCCATAGCCATTTATATCTTGAGAAATGGGGCCGCCCCTCTACAAGTGGAGGATGGCCCTGCCTTCCTGTCTGTATCTGATCTGTCTCCTGGGTCGGGTAAGGGACACAGCGAGAAGTTCCCCATGTGCCCTTTACAGCCACGTGCCTCAGTGGGAGGGTGGCCCTGAGTGCTTCTGGGTTGGGCTGGGGAACACTAGGTTCCAGCTGTGGCCCCTCACGCCAGGAGGAAGTGCCTCTGGGGTGGAGACCGACCGTCCTCAACTCTCCCTCTGTTTGCAGGGCCGGATCATCGAGTGCACGCACTGCGGCTGCAGAGGCTGCTCAGGCTGAACCCCCCACATGGACCTTGGATGGACTCTGCAGGCTCTGCCTACTTGCCTCTCTTCTCGGGAGCTGCTCTTCTCGACCCAGCACCCACCACCCCGGACCTGCTGGGACAGGGGCTCCCTCGGGAAGGCCTCAGTCACCAGCTGGAATTTGTAAAATAAAGCCTTTCAGTCTAGCCAGCCTTCTGTCCATTTTTCCTGAGCAGCAGAGGACATGGAGCCCATCAGGGGCAGGTTCCCACCCCACCCACAGGGGGATGGCCACCTCTCGAGGGCCAGGATGACCCGTGAAGGTGGCATGAGTGCCATGCTGTAGCCGCCCTGGGGACACCTGCAAACATTACAGCTCTTACCCGAGCAGCCCACCCCTCCACGAACAACCATTAAAGCTAATTAATGTCCTTTAATCTGAGAGCCTTCTGGGCAGCCCTAGGCACTGTGGTCTGTACTCTTTGTCCATCCTGTGTCCACTGTGGGTCCCCATCATTGGCCCCTGAGGCCTCTGTCCTCCTATGTCTCTGCCGCAGACCCCTGGTCCCCCTTGGCCTTGGTCTTGAACTTCTCCCAGGGGTGGGGGGTCTCCTCGGCTGGCATGCCTTTAAGCCACTGCTTGTAGTACGCTCGGAAGCCATCAATCTTCTCCAGGTAGGGGTTCTTCTCTTTGTACTGTGAGGGGAAGCCACAGTTAGCCTCGGCGTTAGCCTCTCGTTCCCTCTGCCAAGTCCACACCTTGGTGGGAGATGCAGCCAGAATGGGGTGGGTGGGGTGGGGAGGAGTCCAGGAGCTCTGGTGACCAAGTACATTTGGTTTCAGGCTGCTAACAGGAAGGTCTGCTGTACAAAAGTAATACCAGCTCCCGTAAAGAGTCACCAAGCGCTGGGTCCCACCAACTGCCCCTCCACACAGTCACCATCCGTTGGACCCTGGGCCACAGCGTGGTATTAGCAGCATATAACCACAAAAGATAGTTGTCTGATGCCTCTGATCTAACCACGGACACAACAGGATGAAACCTGCCCGTCTGTGCCGTTCCCACAATCACCACTACACCTGAGCCCACATTGCACTGCTGTGTGGATCTGATCTCACTAATACAGAAGACTAATATCAGGATAGAGAGCTCCGAGGAAGCAACAGGCAAAGATGACACGCATCTGCACGTGTGGCCTGTACCCCTCCACTGCCTCTGACTCCACTAACTCCATGCCACCTTCAGAATAGCCAGCCATCGTCTCCAGCATAACACTTGGTACCCAGTGTCCTCCCAGCCTGTACTGCTCCCAGACACCCTGCAGGTGGTGGACACAGCTAACCCAAAAGGCAGCCCCCGCCCTCCCACACTGGCCCCCTCAGAGCAGCAGAGAAAAGTCATTACTAGACTCCTTCCATCACCCCCGCCCTACTGCCACACAATGGCTGAAAGCCTGGACTAGGGGCTGGGGAGCAACGTGGCCGTGGGTTCACTCTGAGCATCACAGGCTCTGGTGGAGGACTGAGCCTCCCCTCACCACGTGACAGACTGTAGGACACTGAGCTCGAGGGACACTGTAGGAAGGGGGAGGCTCTATGGGGCAGCCAGGTAGGGGAGCAGGTATGCAGAGTGGTCCAGAAGGTGACAGAAGACCAGGGAGGGGGCGCTGAGCAGGAGAGTGGCCGGGCATGGACAGGCCTACAGGCAGAGGGCTCAGAGGTCAGCTTTCTCCTCAAAGGAGCTCCGGGCCAAAGCCACTGCCATCGCGTCGGTTCTGACCCCCAGAAGCCCCAGGACACAGCAGCCCCATGCACTTCCCAGGGTTGCCACCTCTTTCTCCACAAGGGAATGGTGGGTGGGTATCAGCCCCACTGAGTTCCAACCTTTCAGTTAGCAGCCAAGTGCTGTAACCACCACGTCACCAGAGCCCCTCAGACACTGCTGGCTGGTCTCCTGGGGAAGGCCATCCCTGGGGAGCTGATGTGGGTGTGGAGGTCGGGTACGTCCAGCCTGGCACACATACCCGGTCGAAGGTGGGTGGGTACTGGGCAGCGAACTCCAGCTGGCGGATGACCACCTCGTTGACGGGGACGCTGTGGCGCCGCATGTCCTTCAGGATGTGGATGAGGTAGGTGTAGTTGAGCCGCTTGACGGCCGCGTGGATGAGGGCGCTGTAGATGTGCGTGTTGGGCGTCATCTGGGACCTCTGCAATGTCACCAACACTCACCGAGAGAGCCAGACCGTGGGGACCGGGACAGAGTTCCCTCTGCCCACAGGAACACTGGAGCCCTGCTGCCCTGCGGCCAGCAAATGGCGGGCAGCAGACACTGCTTGGCTCTTGGTTTGCTGGTGAAAGCACTGTCACCAGATGTCGTGGCTCGCACCAGTGGGCGGACCAGCAGTGTTCGGGGGAAGTGTGGAAATGGGGTAGGGGGAGAGGGTGGGTGTTAGGAGGGCCCAGCCCCAGGCTCCAGGGCCCCTCCATGCCTCTTACCCGCATGTCAGACAGCAGCTGCAGGCCGTCTGCCGCCTGCCGGCACCCGATGGCCAAATTACAGAAGGTCTGCAGGTTGGGGATGAGGCCTCTCTTGGCCAAGACCGGCAAAAGAGCCTGTGGGGACACGCTAGGCGTCACTGTCACCACCACCCTGGTGAGCCCCTGTTCAGGAACCTTGGTTGGAGCAGACCCCTGGGGGCACTGATGTCCCTGGTCCTCCACTTCTGCAAACTAGGGGCCAGCTGGCACTGGAGGCCCCACAGCCATCAGGCCCGCCTCCCAGGGGCCACACCGTGTGGACAGTGGCTTCCTGCCTGCCCACTGCAGAGCTTCGGAGAGCCCCTTGCCCTTCACCGTTTGTCAGCACCACAAACAGCCCCTCCCCCGCAGGATGCCTCAGCTTTCCCGCACGGAGCTGCCAAATGCTTTAACCACAGCACCACAAGGGCTCCTTCTGGGCACCAACCAGAAAAACTAACCCAAACCCATTGCTGCCAATTCGGACCTGCCTCCCAGCGACCATGCCAGACAGTGCAGGCCCGCCCACAGGGGTCCCTGGCCGCCGTCTTCACAGGACCATCTCTCCCACGGAGGCCTTTCAGGGATCAGTAAAGCTGGGTCCTCAGAGGCGAGGTCTGCTGCCCACCCCTCACCAGCCCGTGGCATGCAGTGACTAGGCTCAGTTTCCCTCCCAGTGAAACGGGCACACTCACACCCCCATTCCAATTGTCCAGTGTGGGGGCCCGAAGCAGCTCCAGGGGCCCCAGTGCAGCCTGGGCCCTCACCTTCGCCCCCTCCAGGTCTCCCAGCTTGCTCTTCTTCCTCATCAGCGTGTTGAAGAAGGTCACGTCCGCCTCCACGTGGTGCGCATCCAGGGTGGCCAGCAGCGAGGACTCGTCCGGGCTGCCGGACTCCACCACCTCGGCCAGCAGCGTCAGGGTCTTGATGTCAGGCTGTACCTCGTGCTCCGCCATCTGACCCAGGAAGCCCTTCATGCCCCCCATCAGGGCCAGCCTGTCTGCCGGGGTGGCCACTGTCCCAAGGGAGACCACCGCTGGGGGCACTACCCCGGGGGTCAGGAGGTTGACCTCCAGAGCCGAAGCAGGGGCCTGCAGTGGGGCAGGGCTGAGAGTCACTGTGAGGTCAGGTTTCTCTGTGGTGTCCACCTCAGACTGGGCCTCACCCAGGCCTCTGTCTTGTCGAGGTTCTGGAAGTCCTTCCAGTGCCTCCGAAGGTTCCAGAAACAGCTGCTTCTCCAAAGCCTCCACATGCAGGTTGGCTGACACACCACTGCCCTTCTGGGTCTGGACCGTCCTCCTTGCCTGCCGTCTGCCCCCCGGGGGCGGGAGCAGGGTCACCTCCTCTGGGGGCCTCAGGAGCAGCTTAGTGGCCACCGCCGGGTCCCCGAGGCCACAGTCCCGAGCGGCTCCGAGCAGCAGGTTATAAATGTGTCGGCTCGGCTTAATCCCCAGACACAGCATCTGCCGCCACACCTGTTGGGGAAGGGAGAGGACTCAGCTCGGGCCTCCTGCCTCTGAGGGACCCCCAGCACAAAGGCCTTGGAGTCAGCTAGCAGGCCGGCAAGAGGGACGTGCAGAAGGATCCAGAAAGAGGCTGACCCAGTTCCCGGCCCTGAGCTGTTGTTAGGTGCTGTTGTGGGACTCACAGCGACCCTATGGATGGAATGAAATCTACGACCGACCGTGCGTGGATCACAGCAACGCTCCAGTGGGTTCCCAAGACTGTAAATCTTCATTGACAAGGACTGCCCATCTTTTTCTCCCAGAGCAAGTGAGGGATTTGAACCACTTAACCTTACAGTTGGCAGTCTAACAATCCACTACACCATCAGAGCTTCTAGGAACTGACATCTCTGAGGGACTCCAGGGGCTGGTGGCCCCCTCTCCTGCCACAAGTGCACCCCAGAGGACAAGTCCTGCACCTTCCCTGGAACAGGCTGGACGCGAGTCTTGGCCCACTCTCAGGCTGAGGCCACAGCACCTGGGGAGTGGCTGCCCGGTGCCCTGGCTGTGCCTCCCTCTGAGGGCAGCTACTGGACGGGCAGAACATCGATGCTCAGACAGGTGATGGCGGCATGCACGAAGGCCAAGGCAGGGTGTGATGAGGGGTCTCGAGGGCCATCTCCCCGAGGGACTGGGGGACAGACCTGTGGTTTGGCAGGGTCACAAAGGCTACAAGGAGCTGCAGAGATTCAGGCTGAGTGTGACAAAGACCTCAGTTCAAATCCCAGGTCCGCCACACACTGGTTGAGGAAGCTAAGTGAGTTACGTAAGCGCTGTGGCCTCAGTTCTCCTGCAGGTGGGGAAGGCGGAGCCCAGGTCAGCAGCTCCGAAGTGCTGAAACAAACCACTCCTGCTGTTGCTCATTGTTTCTGACTCGGTTCAATCCAAAGACCAAGAGCTAGGGGACCTTGGTGGGTTCTCCCCACAGGCTGATCATTTTCCACTAACTGAAGGGCTGTGACATCCCTGCCTCGAGCCAGTCCTCCGATGCCGTTTTCCCAACAGTGTGTGCTCACTTTGTGTCTCTGGCCCCATTGTGGTCACTCTCCTGAGAGGTCAAACGCTTCCACCAGGCTTTTGCAGGCTTCACAGATGACAGTATGGCGTACACGCCACTTTTACATCACTGGGAAACTGACCGTCCACCTGCCTCACAGGACTGCAATCTTCGCTTTCCCCTGGTGGTCGGGCACCAAGCCCACAGGATTTCTGAGGTCGGTGTGAGGACACCACACGCTCCACCAGCACAGCACTGCCACCCGGGGCCCCAGAGGTGGACAGTGGCGGGGTTCGGGAATGCCCCTCCTCACGGGGCTCAGCTCTGTGCAGACCAAATGCCCAGGTCTTACTGAGGCTGGGTGTCCTGAGCCCCTCGCATTTCTCACAAGCTCGGAGGGCAACGGCTGCTGGGGTCGGGACACTTTGTGGGGCAGACTCTAGGCACTCGCTGGGGTCCCCCCATTTCTAAGAAGCTGTGAGAGTTGTGGGGTGACAAGGCTGACACTAAATTGCCCCAGGAGGGGCTCGGTGCTGGGGCCTGAGGGCGATCCGAGCAGCGGGTCCCAACTGGACACCTGGGACTTTCTAGAGTTCAGTGCAGATATAATGAGCAGGACCTAGTGCGTCAGACAAATGACACCCAGTGGCCTTGTGGTGAATGTTGGGGTCAGGGGCTGACTGCGTAGGGGCTGCACGAGGGGACCACACGGTGAGCTGAGGCCCACCTTAGCCAGCCAGGCTGCCCTGTGGCACCCAACATCTCAAAAGGGCAAGCAGTGCACTTTGCAGAGTTACCAGAAGGTCTGCAGCAGCAAAAACAACACCCACAAGCAGCAGTGGGGGCCAGAAACACTGAGGGTTAACGGGGGGTACAGACGGCTGAGAGAGGGCACAGCAGGAGGGAGTCAGGGGAACCGGGGACAGTGGCGGACCAGAGGGACCGACCTGCAGGAGGAACCAGGGACAGTGGTGGACCCGAGGGACTGATGTGCCGGGGGAACCAGGGACAGTGGCAGACGGGAGGGACCAACCTGCAGGGCACACCGGAAGCCTGTCTTCTTGTCCTGGATGCAGCCCATGAGCAGGAAGCTGAAAGTCTCTTCTGTGATCGCATGACCTTTCTGGATGATTTCCTGGGGGACGGAAAGGGGGGAGGACCTGAGGTGAACTGGGCAGAAGCTCTGGAGAGGACCAGGCCTTGTGCACAGGGCAACCAAGAGTGGAGCTACTGACGGCTGCCCTACATCCAGTCCTCCCTGGTCACCTCCCCTCCTCTCAGCCCCTCCTCCCCAGCTCCACTCGTAGTCCTCCCGGCTCAAAACCCCCACAGGCTCCTTCTCAGGGGATGGGAGGATAAAAATTCATCTGCTGCGGGGCCTGGAAGAGCAGGTGAGACTTCAGCACAGCACCCTGACACAGCCCGGTACCCAGAACCTTCTCGAATGTGTCCTCTTCAATGTTCCCAGCATGTGCCTTGGGGCAGGCACAAACACGGACTTCCCCACGCACAAAGATCTCCATGCCGCTCTTTCCCTTGAGACCCTCCCTGGAGACCTCTCTGTGATAGCACAGGCTTCTCGGGTGCTGACAAGGCTAACACGTCAGGGCCACCTCTACCAGCTAGTCCCCTGAGGGTGTGGACCTTGTCCCAACCATCTGTGAGCCCCAGGGCCTATGAGAGGTGATCTTTCAGAGTGTGACCTCGGGGGTGTCAGGGCAGGCGCCCACCTTGAGCACGTCCAGGCACATCCTGAGGTCGGCGCACAGGGCAGCCACCTTCAGCAGGGAGTGGTAGGTTTTCAGGTTGAGCTGGAAGCTCCTGGCCTGGAGCTGCTGCCGGAGCTTCAGGGCGCTTTGCAGGGCAGAGTCCTTCCAGGGCGACTCCGCGCAGGCATTGAACAGGGCTGTGTAGGTGGCGTCCGAGGGCTCCAGGTCCCGCTTCTTCATCTGTAGAGATGGGGCGCTGAGAGGTGGCTCCCCGGAGCAGGAGGGAGGAGCAGTGAGTCTGTTTGGACTCTGTCCAAGCCTGGCATGGGGCACGGCTTAGACGGGGGTGGGGGAGTGAGACAACACAGCCTGCTTCCTGACCCCTGAGACACTGAAACTGACTCCACACCCCCTAAGAGACACCAGCGCCCCCATCAAATCACCCTGGCATGAGCTGCACACACAGGGGGTCCCAGCCCCAGGCAGTACTGGAATGGCTGACCGTTGGGGCTGAGGGGAGGGTCTGATTAGGGGAGGCAGGGGGAGACACTACACCCCGGCTCGGCAGTTACTAA